AACAAAGAAAAGAAAAAGAAGAATGAAAAAAAAGGAACAAAAGAAAAAAAAAGGAACAAAGGAAAAAAAAAAAAGGAACGAAGAAGAAAAAAATAAAAAGGAACGAAGAAGAAAAAAATGAAAAAATTTCTTATATAATGATCCTCCGGTATGATTATATATTACACAAGAGTATATTATCAACCGTGATATATAAGTAGCTCTCATAACTTAATAATGCCAAATAATAAGTTCCAAACCAGAATATTTTCTGAAAGCTCAAAATTTCTTTTTTTTATAATTTTTTTTAAAAAAAACTTGGAAACATTTCTAGAGCAATATCAATATTAATACATTAATTTATATTATGCAAATTTCAGTTTGGAATATGATCGAGATGAGTTCGACTTATTCGGAACAAAATCAGAATATATCTGTAAAAATTTTTTTATAGGGCTTGCTTATTACCTGAAATCTTTTTGATCGTTTGGTAAATTATCTAAATTTCTGGTAACTACATCGCTGTTTTCAAACCTTTAGTTCAGAAGCAGTGATGTAATTTTTAGAGAGTTAGGTAATTTATCAAACAACCAAAAAGATTTCGGGTAATAAGCAGGGGTCTCAGAAATTATGATAATAGCTATAACAGGTGTTTCAGAATTTATGAAAACAGCATGAATTTTGTCAGTATTTAAATTGTAATAATAACTATCGTCTTCATAATTAGAATCTAAATTATCGAGCATACTTATCTGTATCTCGGTTCCTGAATCTACCTTTGTCTCTGGTAAAGATTCAACATTTTTATTTATCATGTCTTCCGAATTACCAGAGGCAGTCGCAAAGTAGCTAGAGATATAAGTTAATGGGGTAGAGGAAATGGATGTAATACTTACCTCAGTTTTAGATAAATCATCTGAAAAATTAACCTGAATATCGGTGTATTCTATATCAGCTTTTTTGGTGAAGTGGTCTATAATCATTTGAATCTGAGAATTAGTAGATTTTGAAATAGTATCCACATCATATGTTTTGATGTATTGAATCTTATCCATTCCTATCTTTTCGAATAAATTGTCTCTATATTCTCCAATAATTTAGGCTCTATGCAAATAAGTTGGTATATATCAGAATTTGTTATATCAGGTATGACAGATGCAGGAACATCCTCACTTTGAGACTATCTGTTCGGGAATTACAGAATTCAAAATATCCTTTATAGGGGTATTATTAGAATTATTTCAGAGAGAATGAATATTTGTAAATTTATTAGATTTTGCGAATTAATAGTATCTATATCTTGCGAACTCTGTTTCTTAATTAGTGAAATATCATATTCTAGTTTTATAAATCTGGTTTCATATTCTTTCAAAGTTTTTAGCCTTGACTTTTGCTAATTTTGATATTCTTAGCCTCGATTTCAGCAAACTTCAATGATCTGGTGAACAAGATTAGAATTTAATTCTCTCAATGTCTTAATTATAGATTGTAGATTTCCCATTATTTTACACAAGATGCGAATATGTTTAAAAGTTTGAAAGATAAATACGTGATTTTGGGTAAACCAAGTCGCTGAAATTTTGCCAAAAAAAAAAATAATATATACACATATACATTACACAAAAAAAATAACACATGATACATTGTATGTTCCTCTAATCGAAATTTTTATTAATAAAATACCAAATAAAAATACATGATAAAATACATGATAAAATATAGCATATGTAGTTTTTTATATTGCTGACCGCAGTCATGATCTGAAAAATTCTGCTTCTTGAAAAATCATTTTAATATAATATACAATTACGGAATAACAGAATAATCAGGGTTAACCAATATATGATCGATCAATACTTATTACAGAATAAAATTGAAGGTACAACACTATATCACAATATAAAATAACAAGATCAAAGTATAGTTTTTTATTTTTGTAAAATGAATATTGAGAGTAAGGGACGGCTAATTAAACAATATAAATGATAGAAAAGCTTTATTTTAGATTATAATATATATGTGTTATAATGATAAAATAACTTGAAGAATTTTGATTATAATAGACAAATCATTCCAATTTATATCGAAGTTGAGAACTTACAATCTACTCAGATCTAATCTATACAGATATCTTTACTGGTAAAAAAAAAGCACCATTTGTTAAGCATTTATAACCCTTTCTCAATACCTTATAAAAAGCTATTGTATTATTCTTAGTTCGCATCTTCTAAGACAAAATTGTTTTTGCACTAACCACTAGCTTAGAAAATCTCTTCACGGTCCTTGAAACTTTCATGTGTTGTAAATCTATTGTAACAATGGTATCTTCAAACAAATACTTTAATACAGAAATTTTGTATTAAAATCTATTTGATTGAAGATTATAAGTTTCGATTTTCATGATATCAGCTTTGGCGGCAGAGAAAAGTGCAAAGAATAGATTATGAGGATCACTTTGTAGCAATACTTTAATTTTTGGAGACCATATGTTCTTTTGCTATAGGTGTTTAGGATACTGTCTTCTTGAGCAAGGATTTCAGTATCTAAAGATTTAAAGAATCCTTTACCATCTAACTTTAGAGCACTACGACTAACAATGTTTAGGATTTCTTTGAGTTTTTCATATGATTTAGAAGCTAGCTTCCCACAACTTAATTTCATATCATCTTTTCTGAAAAAGACATTCTTAAGTAGTGGAGTCTAAACATATACATTAAGTTTATTTTCAGATATGGACTGTAGTAAAATATTATTCTTATATAAAAAGAAGAAATGATCAAAGAGAGTCCGTACATAAATAAGATCGTTCGATGTATTGGACATATTGATTAGATTTTTATTTAGATATCTTGCCAAAGACTCCAAATCACCTATATTACTAAACTTCTCCAAGTATTGCAATACCTCTTTCTCACAATCTACCACAAACTTATCGATGCTTAGTTTAGCAGCAAAACAGACAACATTGATCTCAGAGTCTTGAAGTTGATTAGCAATAAAATATTTAAAGTCATCAAATAAAAACTTGGTGCAGTCAGAATTATAGATGTTAATAATACCAATACATAGAGAGCTTTTTGTAATCTTATCATTATTCATGTTTGAGCAAACAAAATCTAACACATCTACATTATTGTATATTAACTTCTTTTCTGCCAAAACACACATTTGATATTTTTTGAGAATTTCCTTCACTATATCATGAGTAATATATGGTCTTCTGGTTTTCTGACTCTTAACTTCTGCTTTCGCTTTCTTTATTGATATTAAAGATATATCTAATTCGGCTGTTTGGTCTGGATTCTTTTCATACTCGATAGAAGTTTCAAGAAAAATATTCATAAGAGAAACAGATACAATCTCAGAGTCAGAGTCAGATGAAAAATAATCTTCATTGCAGGGTAGTAAATTACTATCATATCTTTTCATTGAGAAGTTCTCTCGTTGATATTTCTGATCTATGCATATATGCAAAAGATTTGTAAAGTATTTTTTGCTAGTTAAATTATATTATATTTTAACCTTGTTTAGAGGAGTTAATCCATAATCATCTGCACTTTGTTTTTTCTTTAAAAATTGGTCGCTTGGATTTGGCTGATTATATGAATATTCTGCAATAATTTCAGATCCGTAAAATCCATATAATGTTTCTACAAGGTTAATACCTTGCTTATCCGCAATAATTCTAGCCCTTGACTAATTATGTGAATTATAAATAAGATCTATTAAATCTGCTAAATAATTATAGATATAAAATCATTTCAGATCTACTTTCAAAATTGTAGTATTTTGTTATTATACGATCTATTACAATGTTTAAAATCTTAAAGATATTAATATGCTAATAAAAAGAGATTAATCACTAACCTCCAATCAAGCGAAAACTATTTCGAAAAAAAAATTTTGTATTCTACTAATATTCTTATCTTTACAAGTTATAGTTAGGGCTGTGACAAATATTACATAATATTTTTTTACTATACCCTACCCTCCCCTTACATAAGAGAAATTTGATTGGCTCTTATAAATTTAATATTTAACATAAGATTTCAACAACCCCCCTTCTCCCCTAAAAATATTATGTAATATTTGTCATTACTCTTAGTAAAATGATATATCCATTCATATGAAATATGCAGATTTTTAACAAAAATAACAAGTACGATAATAAAAAGAAAATTTACACTAGGAGTGACAATAATTACTGATCCTCTTGACTCAGGTACTACCTGGCAAGATTTTTTAAAAACTTTCTAGCACTAGACAAGTAAATTACTTATACTTTTTGTCTCAGGTATTACCTAGCAGAAGGTGCTTTTTTACAAAAATTAAAACATATTTACTTTATAAACTTGGTAATATTTTGCCTCTACTTCAATTTTAAAACATTTTAACCAAGTACCAGCAAGACCTTTAATATTGTAGATGTCTGGTAGCGAATTAATGATCACTTCAAAATTTGAGGAAAGAAAGTTAAAAAAGAACCAGTTAAGTAGATTCTTGCTGTTAAGGTAGGTGATGAGCTCTGCAATACAATCAGATTAATTAGAAAGTAGTTCTTGTTCTCTTGTATCATTAAGATTATACCCGCTTGGCCAGGGTATAACTCATTAAACATTGCTGTAAGGTTTTTAAAAAAAAAGTATATATGTAAATAATATTACGACAGGGTGAAACACGCATATAATATTGATAGTTATATACTAGACCTTCTTGGGTGACCATCCCAAATTAAAAAATATTTACCTGAGTTACCTGATCGTCATTAGCCAATAAAAATCATCAAATCAAACTTTTTTGTTTTTATTATATAAAACTGATCAGGGTGGCCATAAAAAATATAGCATAATGATAGTGCTACTACAAAATTTTTTCCACTCCTGAAATTTTGACCAATCGAAATTTAAGATCAGGTGTAATGTGATAGTTAAAACAAATTTGGTTTGTTTTCTAAGTAAAAAAACATATAAATTAAATCTAAGAAAACCATGTTATAGTCAGGGTTATAATTAGAAAAATATGATAGCTATTAGTAGAATTTTATGAGAAAAAATTTTAATTAGGCCAGTTTTCTAATAAAAATTTAGTGCTATTTTTGTTTTTTTATAAAAAAGTGGTCTATTTCAATTTTTATATTATATTTGATCTTAAAATTCAATTGGTCAAAATTACAGAGAGTGGTAGAACAGCTAGAGGCTTTGTTATTGCTACATGCTCCTGCATATAGTGTTATCTACATGGCCCATATTTTTTATAGCTGCTCTGATCAATTTATATTATATTAATAATAATAGCAAAAACTTGATAAAAAAAATCGAAATTTAAAAAAATTAAATCAAAATTTATAGTTAAAGATAAGTGATGTTAGGTAAGCAAGCATATAATAATTAATTTAAATTTATTGTTAATAGTATTTATTTACAAGATTTTATTAATTTATATATTTAATCTAGGATATTTTTAACTCATGCCAGTAGTTAAGAATAACCACTATACTATATCTCAAAAACTATACTATTGTTACAGTACCGTGGCCTTCTTAACAGCAGTACTATAACAATGACACGGCTACAGAGATCCTTTATAGGTTTATAGTGGTATCCAACAGGTAAGTATAATTTCTACTACAACTAGAAACTATACCCTTTTGTCTGTGGCAGTTCGGGCAGATAATAGT